ACTCCACCATTTACTCTTTTTTTTCTCTTTCCACATTATTCTATTATTTCGACTACGAGACATAAAACACCAACTTTCAACATCAAGTCACCAAACATAGCTGATATGGGATATTATATACTGGACCGGTTTGCAGGGCTAATCAAAGAAGATCGACCGGTTTGTTGGACTACCTAAGTAAGAATAGATCGAATGGCATGGTTGAGTAGGACCAGACACTGGCCACTAGAACATCGAGCAGATAGCGACAACTAAGAAGATCAGAAGTGGTCGACAGATACAAGCCATCTGAGGATATGGTCGAGGAAGGACGATCGAGGAGGCATAGACGTACAGAACTGGTAGAGCATCGGAGCATACAAGGGAATCTCCAGCACGTAAGGAAGAGGACACGCGGCGAACTATGAGTGGTCAACAGCCGTAACCAACTCTGACATTCTCTGACAAAGGCGACGCGTTTTCTGACACCGAGGATAGTGGAGGCGCGCGGCTGTACGGACGAGCAGAAGACAATTAGCCGAACTCGCCTTGCTCGCGCGTGCAGCTCAGGTAACTCGCCCTTATAAATAAGGGCGAGAATCCTCATTTTCAGTACGATCTCATACACTCTTATACTTTTTCATACACTCATATTATCTCTCAAGATCTGACTTGAGCGATGGAGGCTCTTCACCGGAAAACACCTCCGGTGTGGGAGTTTCGTGCAGGTTCCGCGTTCAACCGGCGAGGAAAACAAGCTTAGGGCGATTTCCAGCTGGTCAGGGTGCGAGACCTGTATTAATAGCCAACATTAATCAAGATAATCACAAGCACATTTCAACAAAACAACTCAATTCAAAATCAACTCGCCATAAATAAATCACAAAATATCAACTCTCATGCTCTTGATCCCAAAACAACAACACCTTAAGATATTTAACCAAATATAATCAACTCAAGCCATTTAAACTAGCACCAAATAATCAAATAGACCCTCATATCATCATCGCAAAATTCCACATACAAATAAGCTCACACTAGTCAAGAAAAACATGCTAGGACATCAACTCAACAACTCAAGCTCATAGACATCTCACACTAACGGGCCTCCCCAAACTTAGAGTTTGCATAAATAAGAAAGCAAAATAGGAGGTAAAAAGAAAGAGTTCACCTTATCAAAGAGTGGAAGTCACGTTGCACACCATTGGGTTGTCTCCCAACAAGCGCCCTTTTTTATTGTCGTTGGCTCGACTTATTACTCTGCTTTCTTCAAGCGGTCCATGGTGGCTTCATAGGTGGCCTCAAAGGAGGCACGAACCTTGCAGCTCAACTCGTCAGATGGATAAGAAGGAGCCAGGCTTGATGTAATTAACCTGCCCATAACTTATACATTCCCTTTATTATCTTTCACCATAGCATGAAGCCATTGAGGCTCTCCATGGAGAACCTCCACCTCCACAACGCTATCATCCCATAATAACCAAATACCGCCCGCAAATCCAACCCGGTCAAT